CTAAGGTTTTTATTGCTAGTAGTGGCACGCTCATACATAAAAAGGGAGTTGGCTTGTTGACCAGTCAATGGTTTTCTAGTCAATAGGGAACTTCATCCTACCTTCACAGGATCATATCAAAAACGGGTGAACATGAGGGTTGTGAATGAATTTCCGAATTTACCCTCACTTTTGACAGAAAATTTAACAGAGTGTGGCGAAAGGACTAATAGTGCAACACAACACCTAATTGAGTGACCTCTGTAGCTATTTTTGGAGTTAAGTGACCAAAGTGTAACTCCAAGTATAATTGAGGGATCATTGCTACAAATAAGCCCAAATAAAATAATTCTGGAAGCATAAAGGAAATTATATTCTACTCAAGGAAAGGAAAAAGAAAAAAACAAAAACAAAAAGCAGTTTATTGCAAGAGGAAGTGCTCTTGGAGTAAGAACACGAAGGTAAAAACCCACAAAACTATTGCTTATATTTTCTATTGCAACATTGTTTGTCTTTTAAGCGTCACTAGACTACCTTATCTTTTGAAAATTTATCATATTCATTTCAAACCTTCTATTTTTCTTTCAATATTCATACGAATTTCATGATGATGAGATATTGGTCAATGTGAGAAACTAAATAATTGTATGAAGAGTTAAATTACATTTATTATTAAATTTTTGTATTTTTTTATTTGACAATGGTCCGATGAAAATTAAGAAATGATGGTAGAATTAAGTTATATATCTGGCAATTTAATTTTTAAATATTTAATTATTTACCCCTCTCCACGCCCTCCCCTTACCTCACTCATTCACATGGAGATGGAGCGCAATCATCAAAACGTGGACGCCCAATACTAGTCTATTTTTGGTCAACTTACTAACAATGATACAGGGTAAAATAGGCAAAGAAATTGTATGTTGAAGATTTGGTAAAATCATCACCGACCATCAAGTTGACTTGCTTCTCCATCAAGTCATCCACTTATTAACCATTCAATTTCCTCGGTTTGACTCTCGTGGCCGTTCCCCGCCCAATCAATCTAGGTCATCTTTTCTCTACAATCACGTCATACAAGAGTTCAATTTTCTTGTTTTTATTTCTCTTGTGCCCACATGTTTCCTTCTTCTTTTATTGACATGTGTCCTCTAACTTAACAAAAGGTTAACTCTGTTAAGTGTCATTTTTATTAACAAAGTATTAAATGTTAAAATAAATTAATTCAGAAGCATGGTCACTCCATCTTCTTCGGCACCCACGACCACCCACAAGCAGCGATGGCAACATATCCAGATCCACATCTATATATGCCTTCATCTTTTGTGGTCCCTTAATTTCAACAAACATGCCTTCTTTTTCCCTCTCTCTCTCTCTCTCTGTGCACCGCCACACCAGATCCAAACCCTCACCACATCATTTCCCTTGACAACTCCAGCAAGATTCATCGTGATTCGCGAGCTCGACATTCTCGGGGTGGAGGGATATCCGATTCTTTAAGTCAAAGAAAACTCTTGTTTTCTGATGTGTGAGTGGGGATTGAAAATTGAAGGAAGTTATTCTTCGCATGTCCCACAAATATTCTTCATGGCCTAGCTATTCCCAAATCAATGCAAGCCAAAGACAACAACGTCTTCATAATTGCATCTATAACATTAAAAAGGGATTGTCACCACTAGGGTAGGGTGGGGTGGTTGTGGTGGGTGGTGGTTGAGGTCCGGTGAGTGGGTGGTTGGATGGCTGCTGCATTTTATCTTTTACTTCAATTTTGAGTTTTTTTAAATAAATAATTTGATTCAAAGTTAGTAGTGTATTTATCGAATGTTAACAAAATAAGAAGGAAACAGTGTGGGAACATGAGAAATAGAAACAGGAAAATTGAACTCATCATAGAACACTATACTTGAGATTGACCAAGCGAACCAATTGTAGAGAAGGTCTTTCATCAACTACGAGTAAAACAATTGACAAACTGTTAGTATGAAAATAGTGTTGTCATTTTCTAGACTCTAACATAGGTTGAAAATTAGTGTGTGAAGAATTGTTACTGGACATTTTGGCACAACTCATTCAACCCCATACATCGAGGCATTACTTGACCGATATAAGAAACTTGACTTCAGGTAAATCATGACATAATCATGCATTCATTATAGGATTCCTAGTTGGAGTTTTTTTTCACTCAAGTATTTTTATGTTAATCTTATTTTTAATAGGATTAGATTTTATCTCTTGAGATTACTTTCCTAATTGGACTCTATTTTGATTTAAGTTAAAATATTATTTTTCTTCCTTGACTTGAAAAGCACTTTTTATTAATACCTAATTGGTCTCTTTGATAAAGATTGTTATCTTGAATAACAATCCTTGCATAAGCTGACGAATTGAAGAGTATTAGTGGTCTCCTTGTTTTTTGACGTTTTTCATCTTGTGCCCATATTGAATCACAACTAATAGTCATAGTTGAATAGGTTTAATGTGAGTTCATATTGCATCAGGTTTAGGAGTCTTAGTTGAATGGGTCTTATAGTTGCATTGGAAGTGTAGTGACGTGGGGTTTCTCTCCAGGTAGAGAAACTGGCTTTGAATAAAAAGGATTGTTGTTCCTTTTCATTCGCAACTTTCAACACATGAATTTTTGAACATATTGAATCTGTTGTCAAGAAAAGCTGTTGCGCATATATTTGAGATAAATCATTAAGTGTTCCATGTTTTACTTGGTGATTTATCAAATCCTTTCTTCATTCATATTGCGTTCATATGCATGTCGGTGACTCATATGGTTGAGGGCACCAAGACCGTGGTAAAGGTTTTCCTCCGACGAGCTTGAAGCAATCGTGACCAGTTGCGTTCAACATAAGGAGTGTCGAAGATCATCCCGTGACAGAAGTTGAGTTACGAAGAAGTCAGTAAACATTATCTAGAATAGGTCTAGGATAAGTATGTGGTACTTCTTGTAATCATCGTTTTATAGTGGATTTGTGTTGGACTAAGAGTCTCGTGGATTTTCCCCAGAAGTGGAGTTTTACCACGTAAAATAATTCTCTGCATGTTCTTTTATTTTATGCTCAGCACGTTTCAAGATTGATAAGCCATATCAATCCTGTTACCGAAGTTTATTTTTATTTATTTGATTATAATATTAAATTGGCCTATTCACCCTCGTTTAGGCATTTTTAGACATCCTACAAGTATCTTCACAAACTAAAGCAAAGTTCGTAGCGGAAACACTAGAGCAAACCCTAAAAAATAGGGCACATAGCAGAACACATAAAAGTATAATACAGAAACTATGTGGGCACGACAAAGGTGAGACAAAACATAGAAACCCTATGAGTATGGCAGAAAGTAAGGCAAAACACAGAAATCCTATGAATACGGCAAAGAACACAGAAACCATGTGAACATAGCAAAGAACACAGAGACCCTGTGAACACGACAAAAGCAAGGCAAAACCAAACCTTAAAAATAGGGTCAGGCACAATAAAGGCAAAGGCAAAACCAAACCCTGAAAATAGGGCAAGGCAAGACAAACTAAGGCAAAGCAAATGGGACAACCATAACAACTACGACGACAATGACCACAGCAACAGAAAAGCAAAGGCAACGTCAACGGTAACGGCAATGACAACATCAGCGGAAAATGGCAATGAGAAATTCTTCCATATCAACTTTAGCTAATTCACACATACACAACTTCTCTTCAGTCCCCTTCTCCCCCTGAAGAGAAGGGATCGTCGGAATCAAGAAAGAGGCAATATCTCTATGGAAAAGAGAAACATAACATTTTCACTCCTCCTCAACCTTGAAGAGGAGGGGAGGATAGCACTTAAATTGCAAAGAGAATGCAAGCACATGTCACAAGAGAACTTAGCTCTCATACCAAGTCAAACAAAGTAGGGCAAATATTCAATTATATTCAGATATGCTCATATATTTTTCTTCTCCAATTTGGAGATATTTATAAAGATATGTAAAGATATGTTAACCCTAAATACAACAGAAAATAAATCTAAATTACAAGAGGAAATAAATCTCAATTATAATAGGACTAAATAAGTAGGTAAGTAATCAAAATTCTAACATAGTAATGAACCAAAAACCTAACTAAGTAAAAAATCGTCAATAAAAAATCTTTGGTGACTCCTTTTTTTTTTATTTTTTTATTTTTATAATTTTAAAAATAAGTTATTGAGGGAGGGGATTTACATGGAAATATTTATTGGTGACTCTTAATTCAAAGTCAGACAAGATATTTTTTTTTTTTTTTTTTTTTTTTTTAGAACCAGATACATAGTTAAGGTAGGTGGATTGGTTTGTCTACGCAAATTCAGTTGAGTGTGTTGCTTTGTTGGGCTTAGACCCATCATATACATCAAAAGTGCATATGATTTGAGCTTTTAAGCTAATAGCTCCCAAAAAGGCCCAAACCCAACTTGTTGTTTTACACACAACAAAAATAGGGTGGGATGCTCGGCTGCTGTAATCAGCTGTTTCTTGCCTCTTGGCATGGCGAAAGTTGCAGCCACAACACAACATAACAAACCATCCTCTCATATTGATACCATAACAACTGTGACATCCCTAATCAACCAACGGAGAAGGGGTGATGTAACTTATATGTACATGCCCGCCTTCATCTAGCACGAGGGCTTTTGGGAGCTCACTGGCTTCAGAGTCATGGGAACTCCGAAGTTAAGCGAGTTGAGGCTAGAGCAATCCCAGGATAGGTGACCTACTGGGAAGTTGCTCGTGAGTTCCTAGAAACAAAACCGTGAGGGCAGAGAGGGGGCCCAAAGCGGACAATATCGTGCTACGACGGAGTTGATCCCGGGATGTGACAATTTGGTATCAGAGTCACTCTGTCATTTGGTGCGAGTGTGCCGATGAGGACGTCGGGCTCCTAAGGGGGGTGGATTGTGACATCCCACATCAACCAACGGAGAGGGGGTGATGTACCTTATAGTACATGCTTGCCTCCATCTAGCACAAGGCCTTTTGGGAGCTCATTGACTTCGGAGTCATGGGAACTCCGAAGTTAAGCAAGTTGGGGCTAGAGCAATCCCAGGATGGGTGACCCACTGGGAAGTTGCTCGTGAGTTCCCAGAAACAAAACCGTGGGGGTAGAGAGGGGGGCCCAAAACAGACAATATCGTGTTACGGCAGAGCCGATCCCGGGATTTGACAACAACTACCAAGACAAGTATATTATATAATAAGTTTACATACTCCACCATATAATCAGTCAAAAGCCTAAATAAAACGGCATGCCTTCCTCTACATTGTATAAATTAAAGACTGAAATTGAATCAAATCAAAGTGCATGAAATACATGTCATAGGATAGGACCCATTAATTGAAGCGTTGCTAAACAATAGGACGGTTTAACAACACACCTCTTCCTGCAGCAGTGTCCTTAAAAAACTTTGTCTTGATTTTGTTGAGTGTGGTTACAGCTTCTTTCATACTTATCCTCTCTTTTGGTGATTCTACACAGCAAGTAAGAGCTAATCTCATAATGGCTGATATGCAATCCCTCTTCCTCACATGATCATCATCTTCCTGCTCTGTCCCAATCCCAAGCAAATTGGCATCCACAACTTCATCTATGATTCCACGTGGTAATACTAGTGAGTCTGCAATCCATTGCTTTAAATCCATTTCCCCAACAAACATCTCATCTGTTGGCTTCCTTTTTGTGAATGTTTCCATGAGCACAATACCAAAACTATACACATCCCCTCTTGTTGAAACTATTCCTTCCATTCCATACTCTGCAATATGAATTATATTTGAGTTATACTTATATATATCTAAATGATATGTTATCAATGTCATACTTATATATATATTTAAATTATATTTGATGAAAAGACCATTTTAAGTTATGTTGTTCATAATTGAAACATATTAAATTATAGCAAGTACATACCTGGAGCCATATACCCAACTGTGGCTAGGGTCATGGTTTGGGTAATAGAATCTCCTCCACCTAAGAGTTTTGCAATTCCAAAATCAGCAACATGTGCAACCATATCATCATCTAGTAGTATATTGCTGGGCTTCATATCACAGTGCACAATAGGTATTGAATAACCATGGTGTAGGTATTCCACTGCCGCCGCAACATCTATCATTATGTTCAACCTCTGTAAGATATTCAAAGAATAGTTTTGAGAATATAGCCACTTGTCCAGGCTCCCATTAGGCATGTAGTTCAGTACCAAGGCTTTGAAATCAAGTTCACTGCAACAGCTGATGATTTTGATAAGGTTTCTATGACGAATATTGCTTAGCATTTCACATTCCCTATCAAAACTCTTGAAAGCCCCTTCTAGCTGTAAATTGAAAACCTTTACTGCAACATCTATTCCATCTGAAAGTGTCCCTTTATACACTGAGCCAAAACCCCCACTTCCGAGTAAGTTGTTTTCGTTAAATCCATTTGTGGCCCTTAGAAGTTCTAGGTGTGAAATTCTTCTCCAAAGAAGTTGAGGCAACGAGGTAGCCTCTCCTGCAACTTCCACATTTCTTTTCCTGTGTAGTACAAATATAGATATTGAGGCCACTAGGAGAATTAGTGATATGATCCCTGGGATGATATATTCAGCTTTCTTCCAATTTGGTTCAAGTGTAGTATTTTTGCATGGTGGAACATGAAGTCGGGGTGCACCACAGAATGCGTTGTTTGAGACAAATGATTGAGCAGAGAAGTTTTGGAATGGTCCACCTGTTGGAATTTCTCCATGGAGCCTGTTGAAAGACAAATCCAGATACTTGAGAAATGACAGAGCTTCTAAAGACTTGGGAATCACTCCAGATAGATTGTTTCTGGATAAATTCAAGAGTTGCAGGCTTAGCAAGTGGTGAAAAGAACTTGGAATAGGGCCTTCCAAATTATTATTTGCCAAGGATAGAATATTCAAATCCAAAAGACCCTCAATGGTGCTTGGTATAACACCAGATAAATGGTTATTTGATAAATCTGCAACTTCCACAACTTTCAACGCTGCAATATCTTGTGAGAGAGGTCCAATTAGAGAATTGGATGATAAGTTTACTTGTAAGATATAGGCAAGTCTCCAAAAAGTAGATGGTATTGTGGAACTCAACAAATTGGACTCTAGTGATAGATATCTTAGAGATGCGGCTAGATTACCCAAGCATGAAGGTATAGAACCAGAGAGCTGATTATTAGCCAACTGTAAGTAAACTAGGTTATATAGTTGACAAAGTTGATATGGGATGTAACCTTGAAATTTGTTGTAATTCAAGTTCATACCTTGGAGATTTCCAAGTCTTCCTAATGAAGTTGGAATTGATCCACTCAATTGATTGTTTCCGAGGTCTAAGATTACCAAGCTGCTAATGTTGCCAATACCAATGGGAATGTTACCCCTCATGCTGCAGTTTCTTAAACCAATATGTTGAAGCGTCGATGTAGAGAAATTCGAAAAGGAATCATCAAGTGTGGCATTTAACGGATTAGCATCCAAGTTTAGTGTTGTCAAACTTCTAAGATTAGCCAAACAAGAGAGAGTGGTTGCTTCTGGAGTGGAAGTATCAATCGTCAAATTATTCATTGATAACCTAAGCCGCTTAAGGTTTGTTAAGGCACATAGCGTGGTTGGAATAAACCCTGTAAATGAGTTTTGGCCCAAGTCTAGCTCCGTGAGCATAGAAGAATTGGAGAGGTTAGGGATTACTCCGCTGAGGTCAGTGCTTGCTATATGAAGGTGTTGTAGGTTTGGAAGCCCAAGGCCTATGTTTGCTAGGAGGCTACCTGATAGCTGATTCAAAGAAAGCGACAATGTTCTCATTGTGGAGATATTGAAGATTGAAGATGGGATGAGGCCATTGAGATTATTCTGTATGATTGACAAAAACTCTAAATTTGGAAGATCACCGATCTCGTCTGGTATAGTGCCTGCCACAATTTTAGAAACGTTGTAGCATTAAGCATTAGTTGAAAAGAATATTGACTTGGATAGAAACGACAATTCAATCTATTTTATTATGTTGTGGAGATATTGAAGATTGAGGATGGGATGAGGCCATTAAGATTATTACCACCGACTACAAAAGACTCTCATCTAGTATAGTTCCTGCCACAATGTCACAATCGTTGCATGTTTAATGTTGTATGAATTTATGTACTTGTTGATTACTTTTAGTATAAAATGTAACACTCATAATATTAATTAATACAACCATTTTTACACAAAAATCTCTAAAAAGTTTTGTGTTTGAAACAATTTAAGAATTCGGGCCATAATTTGGGGATGAAAATATATGGTTTTCAAAATGTCAAATTCCCTTTAGCAAATCACGTTTTTGTTTGCATGTCTTTATATCTCTTCTTTTTTTTCTTCTTACTTTGGTTAACCTTAGATTTGAACATATTGACTGTAAACCTTGATTGTAAACCTTGCTATTCGATTCTAATGAAATTTCTTCTTACTTTGGTTAACCTTAGATTTGAACATATTAACTGTAAACCTTGATTGTTAACCTTAGAACTTTTATTAGGCAAGTCAATATGTTATATTCTTGATTGTAAACCTTGCTATTTGATTCTAATGAATTTTCTAGCTATTTTGACACAGAAAAATTGTTATATTCATGATTAATTATCTCCCTCGTTTACTAAAATATGAAATAGTTAAATAACGATAAATTATGAAACCAAAATAAAAAAGAGAAATCATAATTGGATCAACAAAATGAAATATTAATTACCCGTCAAATTGTTGTATTTCAGGGATATCACCTTCATCATTGTTAAGTTCCCAATATTTTTTGGTATGCTTCCACTGAAATTGTTTTCCTCCAAATATAGTATAAGAAGCTCTCTGCATTGCCATAATTTGGATGGAAGTGGACCATCAAATTGGTTGCGACCCAAATCCAACTTTTGAAGACTAGGAAGATGTTGGCATATATTGTCTGGAAGACCACCACTCAAGCTGTTTCCATATAGAGCCAACGTGATCAAAGAAGACATGTTGAAAACAACTACAGGAACAAAGCCTTTTAGGGCATTGTACAGCACATATAACTCTTCCACATGATCTAAAAAGCCAATCTCTTTTGGAATTTCTGAAAAAATCATTACAATATATGCACATTTATATGTTAAATTCATGTTTAATGCACATATATAATGCACGGCAACAAAAGCTGAGTCATATATAACTGTATCACATCAAGGCATTGCGATAAATATATGTACCATTGAAGTTGTTGGAGTCAAGGTATATCTTCTTCAACATTGTTAAGTTCCCTATTTCTTTGGGTATTGCACCTGTTAAGTATGTCAAACAAAGACTCAAAATACATGTAAATAAATGAAATTAGAAAAACACCACATTACATAATTTATAGAAGAGCTGTTAGAGTGGATATTATGGAGGGGAAAAAAACTCTCAACTAGTCACTTGGTCACTTTCTAAGTGGTTTATGTTAGTATGTTACAATTTTCACTTGAAGGTACAATATGGAATTTTTCTATAATATTAGATTTGAAGGGTGTTTTTTTATATTTATAAAATATCATGTTACAATGGGCCTCCATGTGAAAAAGGTCCTAAATATTCCCTATTATTTACAATCTATCATCTATGTCTTTATCACCCAACTTCCAACCAGTTTATCATTTGTAGCCTACAACATGTAGTCCCTAGTTTCATAAATGTAAGTTTTGTAAAAACTTTCTGAGTATATATAAAAAAAAACCAACATTATAGACTCAACCATTCTTAAAATTAAAAACCAAATACATAATCTATTCAAGTGTAAGTTTTCATAAATGTAAGTGATTAAAAGTTAGACTAATTTTCTAAAGAAAAAAAAACACATTAGGCTTATAGATTAATAACAAGATGTTGAAACATAATAATAGATCAACAATATAATCTAGATACCTTGTTGACACATACGTACCTGATAGTTTGTTAATGCTTAGATCTATGGTTTGCAATGTAGACAAGTTGAAGATAGTCAAAGGTATGGTACCTGAAAACTGATTTCCATACAAATTCAATATTTGAAGTTTGGGGAAGGACCCAAACCACGATGGAATGGATCCCATAAAATTGTTGAATCCGAAGCTAATCAACTTCAGGCGACGCAAATAAGACAATTCATGGGGCAAAGTACCATGGAAGCTGTTATTTCTAAAGGTTAGTGTAACAAGGAATGAGAGGTTGACCAAGTGTGGTGGAATGGTGCCTGTGAAACTCATATACGAGAGATTCAATGATGCTACTCTGTGGTGGCGAGCACCACAAGTAATGCCAACCCAGTTGCAGACGGAGGTGGTGGTTGACCAGTTGACCAAGATGTTGTGAGGATCACTAGTGATATGAGATTTCAGAGCAAGAAGAGCAGACTGGTCTGTGGTGATGTTGGTTTGTGTTGCACCTACTGTACATATAGAACTGTGGTGTACCAGCAACAACGTTATTGACAAGAGGAAACGACTTCTCTCCATGAGCATAGAAAACAGACAAGTTCCTTCCAACTACAAAGTGTTTTTCGTTTTCTTTTTTCCCCCCGAGATTGAAAACCTGAAACGATTGAATAATTTGTTGCAGTGCCAATTTATGAAGGCAGAACAGGTTGACAAAGACTGGGATTGCACCCTGGGGGAGGAATATCGCAAGTAGCCAATGCAACGACTTAGACTTGTAAGAAAGGAAGAATGGACAAATGGATTTAACGAAAGGAACTTACTTGGCAGTGTGGGTTTTGGCTCGGTGCAATTTCAGATGGTATATCTGAAGGGGCTTTTAAGAGCTTTCATACGGAATGTATGTGTTTTCGGTGTTAAATCCATTTGTCTGTTTTCGCTGGTCTATTTATTGCAACGACTTAGACTTAGACTCAAGGCCGGCTCTGAGGCATGGGCACGGAGGACGACGGCCATAGGCCTCCAATTAAAGGGACCCCAAAATTTTATATATATGTATTTTACTTCTTTGTTTTTGTCATTTGCTCCCGAAGTGGTCACATGGGTTTGGTGGGTTAGCATGTTTATTTTACTTCTTTGTTTTTGCCATTTGCTCTACCCAAAGCATTTTGCCCATCACATCTCCATGCTTGCCGCCCAAAACTTTTTTTTTATGTTTCTCATTTATCTTTGTTCTTCTCTCCTCCCTTTTTTTGTCTGTTTAGGGGTGGTAGAAATCCACCCGGGCACGAGAATTGGTCGGGCTAGAGCTGAAGGAACAGCTGGGCAGATTTGGAAATAGCTGGGCAGCTGTTGGAACAGGAGCTTGCAAGGTGCAGCCGGGCTAGGAGTTCAAAATCTGGCTTGGGTTTTGAAGCTTGGAGGCCGTAGCAGTCCGGGCCTCTCGAGATTGCGGCCGGATGGAACTAGAAGGGCTGGAGAGCGGCCGAAAATATAGCTGGGTTTATTTTCAAAAGGAAGGTTGGCGGCCGAGTGTTTTTAGATTGGAGGGTTCGTGCGGCTAGTCTGTCTCTTTGGAAAATTGGGCTGAATGGGTCCTGTAGTCCACTTGGTCTTAATATATATATATATATATATATAATATATATATATATAGATGAATGTGGCGGCCGAAGTTGATTGTTTCGCAAACTGGGGTTGAAAGCTTTTTGACTTACTTATTATATATATATATATATATATATATAATATATATAGATGAATAATGGCGGCCGAGTGTTTAGAGCTGGAACTTCAAGAGTTTTTGCGAAATGGGCAATTGTTTTGGACCGTGTGTGGCCGAAGTGAATATATGGGTGAGTGGGCCGTTTTTAGAGCGGGCTGCTGTAGGCACTTGTATATATATATATATATATACAAGTATATACAATATAGGTGAGTGAAGATGCATACACGAAGGCTGGGAGGTTTTTGTCCTATATGAACATATATATATATATATATATATATTATACTAATATGGAATGATATGAAATCTAATATATGGATGGCAATATAAGAGGAATCAGATGCCCAACTTTAAGCCATCTATTCAGGCCCAAATTTTCGGAAGATTATGTGCACGTGATGGAGGCCTTACGAGGAAAGAAATCAAAGGATTTTTTATAGTAACTCCGAGTGTTCCAAAACAAAGAAGAATCAAGCATGTCAGAATATCAATGCAATCTCACGGATTTAGGAGGGCTTCGAAAGGAAAGATTTTAAAGAAGAGTTGACATTTGGCCATTCAATGGCCAGCCCATGGGCTGACGAGTGCCCTATATAAACCTTGCTCGACGAAGGCATCGGACACACAACATCAAACAAACAAACCTATCTTTCGTCTCGCACTTTTCTTTTGCTAGACTTAGGATTTTATTTTTCAAGCACCTAATGTAGTGAGTTCTTCATATTTCTAGTGTAAGTTTATATTTTCCTTGTCATTTAAATTCTTGTTCGATTTATATTTTTTGTCATTTCAATTCAAGTTTATTTTGATTCCTTTACATTTAATTGTTATCGCACTTCGATTAAATTTAACTTCAAGTTTATTTCCTTTTCGTTCTTATCGCTTTTATTTTATTCTTGCTTTATCTGTCCCTTTGATTTATTTTATCGCATTTCAATTCTTGTCTTTACGTTTATACGCATATTTAGTTTAATTGCATTATTTTTACTTAAACCTTAAAAATCACAAAAACATCCGTACGAAACCTAACCATTCTCGAGCCCGAGAAAGTGAAAGAATCTAGGCCAAGAAGAGATTCCTTGCTTGGCCGATCAATCGTTTGGTCAGAAGTTAGAAGCGCAACATATCCATCTATTCTCATTCCATTCAAGCCCAATTTCGGGGCTTGGTGGTGGCACGCCCCGCATCCAAAAGAAGAAGGACCAAAAGTTCCTTCCGTTGGCCGCCCCGGCTAAAAAGGGTAACACTGTCACTGATTTTCATTCTCCTCTTCCCTCTCTGATTCTTTCCTTCTCTTTTCTCTTTATTTTTTTCTTCTCTTGTTCTCTCTTATTTCTCTCTGTCTCTCTTTCCCCTTCCACTTTCTTTCTTATTTCTCTCTTGTTCTCTCTTGGTTTTGTTATAAATAAATAAAAATTGTTCAACCCTTCATGATTTGGGAAACCAAAGGATCTGTAGAGATTTTGACCACAAAAAGAAAAGAAAAACAAAAAAACAAACAAAAAAAAGTCTGGATTTTTTTTTCTTCACCATCCCAATATGCGAGAGACAGAGGTAGAGAGAAAGAGAGAGACAGAGAGAGGCAGAGGTTGGGCTGTGTCGTGGGTGGGTGTTTCTTTGGGCAGGGAGGGGGTGGGAAAAGGGTGGCTTTGGCAGTGGGCAGTGTTTGCTGCCACAAGTAGGTGGTGCAAGAATTAAATGAACAAAAAATGACAAGTGCAGCAGCAAGAAAGTGGAAAACTAGAAGGATTTTTGACTCTTTAGTTTCTGCCAAGGTAAATTTGGAAATACATAATTTTTTTTTATAATTAAAAATATTGTTTTGAGTGAAAAAGAATGATATATGTAGAGAAGGTTGTTATTATTAACAGCATGAGCAAAAAAAAATATTGTTTTGAGTGAAAAAGAATGATATATGCAGAGAAGGTTGTTATTATTACAGCAGCAAAAAAAAAAAAAAAAAAAAAATCAAATTGTTTACTTCATCTCCAACCCATGAGGCCAAACCCAAAATATCCCAAATTTTAACTCAAAACCTCTCCCAACCCAAGAAAATGAAGGAGCAAAAATTTGGGAAAACCCAAATTTGGGGCCAAATAGTAGTCCAGCTATTACCTAGACCCCAAAAAATTTCAATAGAGCCCACCTGCTGCTGGCGTAACCCATGTGCAAATAATCAGATTGGGCCCGCGTTGCAGTGAGCTGGCCAAGTGTCGCATTTTGGTTTTGTTTTTTTATTTTTATTTTTTAATAATCTAATAGTAACTTAAATCAACCATCTATATTAAATCTAAGCTATTTTAATGGTAAAAAAAAGATCCAACGGCTGAAATTTAAATCTAACGGTCAAAATAATATTTTAAATTAATCTAAATAAGATCCAACTCCAAAAATCACTCCAAACTCTATAAATACTCACCCATTTCTCAATTAATCTACCAAAAATATTTTTTCTATTTCTCAATTTATTTTTCCTTTGTCAATTTCATCAATCTTCTTTCATTCTCATACTTTTCATATCACGCTTTATTTTGATGATTGTTATTATAATTCACTAATGGCTTGATAGAGGGGTTTAGTGGCAGTAAGAATCTAATTAAATGTTGATTACATGTTTACACTCAAATATACGTTTATATGTTTGAGTTGGTACATTGGATATCGATGCGGGTTTTTAAAATGGTGTCCTGGAAAGTGAATAATAAGGGTTATGGTGACTTTGGGTATGTTATGGATTTTGATTTTGGTGCATTAGTTTATGTGGTTATCGGACTTTGATTTGCAATATCTTTGAGAATGTCGGAATTAGTATGCATATATTGATGGGCTATGGTTTTGGGAAATTTAAATATGGTGTTTTGGATTTTATTATCTTGTCTTGTGGATTTCCAGAGGTTGTATATTTCCTAAGTATATGAATAGTGATTTGAATATTAATTAAATCGAATGGACTTATTTAGTCTCGATGTTTTTCTTAATAATGGTTTTAATATGGTTTTCAAAAAGGAAGTATGGGTATTATTTTGTTATATATATTTTTGTTATATGGAAACGTTTTGTTTTGGAAATTTAATTTTGAGAGTATTATCTTTGTTATATATTATTTTATGAAAGTGGATTTTGGATCTTGACGATGGCACACCATCTCATGTACTCCCCTTGGATACTGATTCTGGATTTGATGGATGCTTGAAAACTATAATTATTGTTTGGATATGTCGGAACCCGGGCACCCTTGATGGGATGTTACCGTAGACCCTTAGTGTGTAGGACTTATTACAGGCGCACGAATATTGAGGATTTTGTTGTGCGTGCTAGTGAGCCCAGTCCCCCGGTTGGACGGCTCGTCCTTGACCACATGGTTGTTGAGGGTTCCTTCGTGTGGTTCAGCCAAACGATTCTGAAATTGGTACTTAGGTGACGAGGGGTAAATTTAAAAGATATTCAACCAAGAACGCAGCAAACTTCACACACTCTAGACCTTGACCAAATACTCTTATGACTAGTCAACTGTCATATATGAATTATACCAAACAATAATATACACAGAGCACACCAAGATGTACCTGCGAGCCTAGAGAATTACTAGTGACAACCTAGGCACTCAGAAGGACCCGTCAATCTAGGCATCCCCTGTGCTAGCAACAACTATGGTGAAAGTGTGTGAAGACCAAACAGCAAAAAAAGATGACTAGTCAACTGCACAAACCCAGATGACTAGTCAACTGTCAAGAACACAAACCCAGAAAATTTACAGAGTTGGAAACCAGAAAATGTTTACCCAGAAACCCACCATTGGGAAAAATTGGGGGTCATCAACCGACCAGGCAATCCACTAAGTAGAAAAAGATTCTTACAAAGGAACACAAGCAAGCTCAAGAAAAACCTAGATCTATTTAGGAAGATGAGCTACACCTCCTTTGTGCAATCTTCTTCTCCAACTTAGCAAAGCTTGAAGCTCAGTTCTTCATGGCAATGGCAGCTCCTTCTACAGCTCGTTCATCCCATGGCACTAGCTTGCAAGCTCCAACACAAACCGAAACCAAAATTTGGATTCAAAGGAGAATGACCAATTTCTTCAAGAAACCATACTCTTGAAGAAATCAATCTTGAATCTGACCTAGATATAAATGAGAGAATAATTTAAGTAGCTAGATGCAGATTCGTGTTTCAAATGCAGTTTTTCAAAAAGAAATCAATTGGAAAAACTCATAGATGAAATAAGATGGTTCTCTCGAGGAAGAAGAAGCGAAAGATGGCAAGCCAAACTTTCCAAAACTTCCACCCAAAAGAGACAACCACCAAATGACCAAAAACGTAGCCTTTACAGCCAAAAAATTCCTTAGGTCAGAAAACACAGATGGCAGCAGAGATAGAGAAAGAGGAATAGGACAAAACAGTTTGTTATCAGCTGGAAATCCTACAGAGCAAGGATGACTAGTCATCTGAGAAACGGATGACTAGTCATCATTTTTATGAAGACTGTTTTATGAAATGATATACAATGCACAATACCTTTGTCAAATTGCTTGAACCTCCATACAGCAGAAGTTAGAGAAGAGCACCAAGAAAGGTTTTCCTTAATCTAAACTTGAGCTTGATAAACAACAACACACATCCTATTACAAAGTTGTCAAGGGAAGCCAAAAGAAAATAGTAAAAATCATACATTAACAGATTCCCATGTTGGATTGTTTCCCCAATACATGATGTGTACTATCATATGTACCTCTCCTTGGATACTAATACTTAGAAACAGTGGACATGGATACTTGGATACATGGAAGTGGATACTTGGATATGTTCAGAACCCGGGTACCCTTGATGGGGTGTTTCGTACACCCTTAGTGGGGTAGTCTGCTCACGTAGGACTTGTCATAGGTGTACGAGTATTAAGGATTCTGCTGTGTATGTTGGTCAGCCCAGTTTCCCACTTGGACGGCTCATCCCTAGCCACATGATTGTTGAGGATTCCTCCATGTGGTCTAGTCAAACTAAAGGTGGGCACGGTACGGTACAGTACAGTATTAAGCTCGTACCGCTACAGATACCGAAAATTAAAACCGGTCTGGTACAGTATGGGATTATCGTTTGCCAGTCCCTCGCTTGGACGGCTCATCCCTAGCCATATGGTGTTGAGGATTCCTCCATGTGATCTAGTCAAACTAGGGGTGGGCATGGTACGGTACATTATTAAGCTCGTACTGCTACCAATACCGGAAATTAAAACCGGTATGGTACGGTATGGGATTATCGTTTGCCAAAGTTGGTACCGTACCATACCGTGCCAAATTGGCACAATACCGGTATGGTATCTGTACCATTTCAATACCAAAATGACACAACTAAAAAATGAATCAATTCAATATTCAACATATTCATTCACCAAAATAAGTGGCATGCTTGGTTTATTTTTACATAAAGATTCTTGTTCTTATCTATAAACTCTGTCATAATACTCTTAATTTAAGTCCAATGTCACTTGAGCAGTTCATAAAACACACAAACCATAAAAGATGATGTTGTTCATAAAACAGACATCTTATAATCAATTGCATAATTATAGAACCACAAAACAGACAAACCATAAAACAGACATCTTATAATCAATTGCCACTTTTTTTTTCTTTCTGAATCTCCCCCACCAATCAATACTCAATTACTAGCATTTTAGTTCTCAGTAGAAATACATGACCACAAAACAGACAAACCATAATTATAGAACCACAAAAGCATAATTCGGTATGGTACTATATTGACCGGTACCAAATATTGATACCGCTACCATGCCATACTCTATTGGTACGGTATAGTACGGTACCGAATATCTCCCCATCCCAAATGAAACGGTATGAAATCGGTATGGTATGGTATGGTTAGTGTACGGTTTCGGTATTTCGGTTTAGATGTCCACCCCTAAGTCAAACGATCCCCGGATTAGATTGTTATTCCCTTGGTATATGATGATGGTGTGAGGTGTGTGTATTGATATATATATATATATATATGGATTCGTTTTCGGGTTGTGATTCTTGAACTGGTGCTTTGTGAGTATCTGCACATGTATGAAAGTCTAATTTATAGTTTGGAAAGTGTTGTTCGGCAACGTACGCCTTGGATAGGGTATGGTTGCGCGAAAGAACTGATAAAAGGAAAGGAACTCATAAAGTGTTCAGTGGTTGCCTAGTCGAATTTGATGTTGTAATGAATATAAATTAAATTGTTGGCATTACTTTAAATAATCGAATATTATATGAATCATGGTTGTTGATATAAAAACTATGTGTGGCTTGATCCCTCACCAAGGGGTACGTAGGTAGCCTGGGGTTTCACCTAGGTGCAGCCGCAACTTAAACTGTTACTTTGGTTGGGCATTTCTATTTGTGTTTAATTTCCATTGAACTTCATTTCGGTTGTAAACTGAAGTCATCTTTTAGATATGCTCTGTTATCACCCATGTTAGGGTTGGATGTAAGGCCGGAGGCCTATTATGTAAATTGTGTGTTACTACATTGTGCATGCTGCTGGATGGAATTTATTAATATATTTGATAGGTTAAATTTTTGGGAAATGTCCGGTTTTTAGGTGAGACTCTGTATAGAAAGTCTCGTTTCTCTTTTCTTTAATTTGGAAAAAGAGGCTTGATATTAGTAAGTGGGCTAGGCATCAGTTTGATGTCGGAAACACCATAGAATTCGTCTCGGATTCCGAGAAAATTCGAAACGGGTCAGTTAGCGTGAGTCAACTCTCCTAGTATGATTAGGAGATAATTTTGGTAATTATTGTACAATTAGGATTTCTTGTCATTATTAGGATTTCTTGCTTACTAAGTTAACTTTGTATTCCTATATATATTGATCTTCAAAGAGAGAGGAATACACATTGAAATTATCCAAAACTCTAGTATCTGTTTTATCTTGATTAAGCTTCAATAATTCTGTTATTTTTCCGTGGATAAGGGTCAAACAACTCAGATCTGATTGGAGAATTGGGAACCTCTTAAAATGGTCACTGTATGGTGTAATATACTGGATATCAAAAGTAGAGATATATGGCTAAACATCTTATTAAAGAGAGACACGTATGGAGGGGAATATCATGGTTTTCTTCATATGTAGTTTCGTTTGTGTATTTCTTAGTGTAAAGGTGATAGAAAGCAAGTACAATCAAAGCGAATCACTTGCTAAATACAAACTAATAATTAGGCATCCTTTTTAATATTTGTCGTAAGATGCTCTACAACTCAACAATAAAGAAAATAAGAGATGGGACTAAAAGAAAGAAAAATAAAATTTTGAGTGCCCATCTCCATCCTTGATGAATCTGAGAAAACTTAATTCAAATTAGGAAGCAAAATTTTCTTCGATTGCACTTTTATATCGAATATTACAACTCTCTTTGGATCATATCACATTTATATAGTTGTTTGGGACAAGAAAGTCGAAGAAAGAACCTGTGGGAAAAATTTCTTACTTATCACATGCAATTGCCCCCGACTAAAGTTTAAAGAGACACCTTGACTTTGGTGCGACGGTATCTTCTTTTTTGCTACAGAAATACTTTGATTTAATTTCGTGTTTTGGACCCTGAACCAAAACTTTACTTACTTTCCTTTTGTTGGTGACTTTGAATGGAACCTTGACTATATATGCAACTTTTTGTGTTTTTTATTTTTTGTTTAATTGGTGTCCTTGAGTGTGCACAACTTTGTTTACTATCGTGGCCATCGAGGCTGCCTTCCGAAAGGAGCACCACATCTCTATCATTATGAACATAATTACTCACATGATCAATATTTAATCCATACTTATTGCCTAATCTTTCTCTTCATGAAATCTAAAACTTTGTCTCATAAAGAGTTGGTGCTACTACTCCCATTACCAATTTGTTTTGGGTGGAAGAGAGATTGTAACAAGAATCCAAATTATAGTAGCACAACTCCTTAATTATAAGCTCATGCTAGGTCCCTTCATTTTCTAATGTGGAACATTTCCTCACATTCTCACACGCCACCTCACGTGGGTCGAAATTTAAAACATAACACATGGACAATACATATATATTGGGTGACTTACGTGGTGCCTCATCTCTTTCTTCTGTTCAGTAATTTTTTTTTATTGTCCAAGGAAACTGTAATGATCCAATGATTATCAGATGCAACTTATTCAATGTGTCTAAATGGCATCTTCTTTCTACATTGTTCCCCAAACAGTGTCAACTTTTTTAGCATAAATTCTCCTTCTGATTTGCAATTCCCACCACCAAACGAGAGAATTAGAGCAGAGTGGGGAGAAAAATGAAACAAACCATGATAAGCAATAATAAACCCTTGAGGAAGACAAGAACTTTTCTCCTTAAGAGGTCAGAATCAATGCAGCAACCCACAGAATTTGTCCCTAGAAAGTCTCCTGTGGTCGAATTCCCCACCTCTCCTCAACTGATATTTGGGGAGGAGATGCTTCACTTCGGTCACCCACAGCATCCTCTGTCCCAAGTTAACCTACCTGACCTTTTCACCTGTGCTGGCTGCAAAGAGTATGGTGCAGGCAAGAGGTTCGTCTGCCAGCAATGTAACTTTCAGCTACATGATTTTTGTGCCTTGGCTCCTCCTGCTCTAAATAGCCACCCCTTTCACTTCCAACACCAACTTGTTTTGTATTCTAAATCAGGTGAATTCTCTTTCTCACGCTTACATGTGGCATGCATATCAAAGTTATTTCATCATCTAGCTTTCCAAGTTCATTTTGAAACAAATCCAAGCTAGTCAGCTAGTTATACATACATACGCGTAAATGTTCTCTTACTAAATCTATATATATATATATTAGTAGACTTTATGAGGTTCATATATTCACAAGCAACATATAAGATTTGTTATTTTGATAATGCTCCTGTGTGGGCTATTGATGCTTTGGTAGATGACCTCTTAGGGGTCTCTCGCTCTCGTCAGATTTCTCTTGCTTTGTAGTTGTTGTTGGGGTTTATCCCCCCTATTTCATCAAAAAAAAACATATAAGCATATGTCTAGCAAGAGAACATTACTTCGTACATACGTATATATTTCCTTTTATATGTATTTATACCTCTGATGATGACTGAAATATTAGTTTCTTGGAAATTATAGTCAAAGGAGGAATTGCACAATCGAAGTGTGATGTTTGCCACAAGCCCGCCAAAGGCTATGCTTTCAGATGCAGCACATGTAGCTTCCAGATGCATCCTTGCTGTGCTATGCTGTCTTCAGAAATCAACTTGCAAACCCATCCTCATACCCTCAGGCTTTTGCCAGCAACGTCATCATCAAACGGCGACCCTAATAGTAGCAGTAGTTTTGTTTGTGGAGAATGTAGAAGGAAGAGGTCAGGGAGAGTGTACCACTGCACCGTCTGCAATTACCATGTTCATGCAGTTTGTGCTAAGGACATGATCAATGGGCTTCATGACAATGGCCACAAAGGCCGAGAAAAGCCGAGTGTGTTCGGGGCTGCTGCTCGCCTTGCATCCCAAGTCGTCATTGAATTCATCGGCGGCCTCATGGAGGGGCTTGGGGAAGGAGTTGCTGAAGCCTTTGTTGAAAATATTGCCAGATCAGGAAGAGCCAATGGCAGATCCAACAACAACTGAGTGGAACTACATGCTTCAGTTCACCACCCCATAATATTATAATGAAGAATGGCATGCACAATAATATTGATGAAGCCCTGGACTGTGGAGTCTATATAAATGAATTAATTATTATTACCACATATGTTCATTATGATTGATTAATATCACTGTAAACAGCTGATGGGCTCAGATATATATATATATATGCGTGTGTGTGTGGGAGTGAAGAATATTTGCTTTTTATGTAAATTATGATGATTATATATATATATGCTTAATTAATTTAATCATGTTGTCTCATTATGTAGATCTACACATGTAGCTAGGTACGTATTTTTTTTGTCTATACCAGAATAAGCAATTTCATTAACTGATAGAGACGGATGCATCCAAGTAGAATTCAGGATAGAAGTTAGGCATGGTGGCTCACTTCCAGCCAATGCATATTTTATTTTTATCAACACAACAAATCAGTAAGATAAATGCTTTTCCAATATCCACCATCGCCAAGAATGTATTTCAGCGACCTGTACACAATCCCAGGTTGCTTGCAACACCCACACATGGTGCGACTCTTGCTTGAACCAGTAGGACCGTACATCATTATTGTACATTTCTCACCCAAATTCACACTGTCAATCCTGGACTGAAGCAAAACGACCCCAAATCATCTTCTTCCTATAAAGAAACCTCGTTGAGAGTGAAATCTCGGTACCCGAAATCGGCATGGACACGAATGCTCTGCTTTTGAGGATTGATCTATAGAACCAATGTTGTTTGTGGTTCTTTTCGACTTGGCTAATCTCAAATTCTGGCTAGGACTTCAACTGGGTGGTTCTTTTGCGGCAAAGTTGGGATTTGGAGATGGGTGTGCTTTCAAGAACTGGAGACGCTACATGGATTGTGGGGTCTTCATTAGAGATGTGTGGCTGTGATTGGATTTGAAAGAATAAGGCGTTGGAGCCAGTACTACAATTAAAGATTCAAGATCAGTTGCAGACATAAAAGATTTGGGCTTGGGGGCGATGAGAGAGAGAGAGAGAGAGAGCCATTACCTACCCACTTGTGCCATGATGGCTTCAGATTTGGATGGTGGATGGGGGTGTGGGTGGGTTTGTTTGGTCATGGATGATGGTGGGGTGGTTGGTTGCAGAGAGGAGAAATGAGGAAGGATTTGGGTTTAGGGATGGTGGATGGGGGTGGGAGAAACGGCTCGGTGGTTTGTTTGTTTGTTTGTTTTTTTTTTTCATTTTATTTATTAATTGTTTAAATGGTGGAAATACAATTTTGCCGCTACACGCATTTAGCATGTGCAATTAAACTAATGAAATTAAGAAATGTGACCTTATTTGTTAACGACTGCAATTACAGTGATGATATTGAGAAAATTGATATCACTACGACTAAAATTAATTTCGAAGCCAAATCCAAAATTACCAAAATTAACCCTTTTTTTTTTTTTTTTTTTTTAATCACTGAGGAAACCGAACCAAATCAAACTAATTTAAGATGGTTTGGTTCAATTTGATTCAGTTTGATTCGGCCAATTTGGGCCTAAGCTTAATTCTTTATACTTTTGCATTTTTCAACATTGTTAGCCCAATTACAAGCCCAAAAATTCACAACTTGCAACATATTTTTTCCATTTTATGCTGTATGAAACCATCATAAAACTCAACATACCATAAACAATCATAAGGCTATAATTCAAATATCAATTACTCCAAAAGTTCATCAAACTTCAAATTCAATATTCGTATATAGTTATTATCTAATTAGAGGACTACACTTGTAAAACAAAATATAAATAAACAAATATACACATACGATCCACTTTAATTTAGGTCAATTTTCAAAAACTCAAAACCGAACCAAATCAAATCATATACAGTCCGATTTGATTTTTGAAGTTTGACTTTTTCTTAACCATACTAAACCAGTAATTACGATTTATAGCAGTTGATTTAATCAATTCGGCCAGATTGATACCCATACCTAATACCGATCCTATAGTTTTTTTTACCTCTTACAAGTCGGTCTACATTTAGCAATTAGCATATGATTTTGCAACCAACTAATCGTCCCCATCAAAAAAGCAAAGTCCAAGAAGAAAGAGAACGGCTTCGCAGCTTGTTAAATAATATCAATCTCTTGAAATTTACACCCAAAAAATGAAAATAAAATCTAGAATGCAAAAAAAATCTGTCATATGATGAAATTGTCCTCTCTGTGATTGATCCTCCACAGACCAACTCTACAGTGACAAAATCAATACACAAATAACTTAAGACTTATGTCCATAAATTAAATAGCAACGAAATCTAGAAGGGAAAACCCATATATATTTTTACCATGTCAAACCTCTAATTACGGTATAACTGCTTAGTTTTCATCCACCTTCACTTTTTCTCTCTTCGGGTCTCCAGTAGTTTTCCTTCATCCACGTTTCCATGCTTCCCATGAACAATTTTACCATCTGCCCCATCTCCATTGTTTCATCTCATCCAACATGATACATACATTACATGTGGGCGGGGGTCTCTGAGAGCGGAAGAGTTTCTACGTTTAAAGGGGAGAAAGACAAAGAAATTCACCTATTTCCAACGCAAATGAGCAAAAGGAAGAGCATAACCCAAGATTGCCCAAATCTCAGATCTGTTAGAAATAAACATGCAGCATCGAAATCACCAAATACCTCTGCTGAACCAGAATTGTGTTGCTTATCAGACTTTTCATCACAGCCCCAGCCCCAGCCCCAGCCCAAACCCTAGGTTCCCTCTTTAATGGGTTGTTAGCACAAACCTTTCTTTTCTCCAGATTTGCATCATGACATGCAAGCTAATCTGGAAGGTGCCCATCAACCCAAAGTTCGCTGCTCTTTTCTTAATCCATAATTCTTATCCTATATAAGATTAAATTGTGCCGAAATCCAAATTCTCCCACTTGAAAGGAGCAACTAAACCAATGTCTGGGGAGCCTCTCAAGAACAGGCAGACACATACACAAACAGCAGCTATGGCAAGCATAGAATGAATGAAGGGGCGCTGAAGCAAGCCTTGAGCACCTGGAACCCTCCTGCTGTATTTTGATGCTGCCATCGCACACTTGGCACATGATCCACTACCTTGTCTGAATCGCGTACTTGTCCTATGCTCCAGCTCCATAGTCATCTGAGGTTGCTCTATCTCATTTCCAATTGTCACAGTAACCTGACTATTTCTTCTGTCAGCAAGTTTACGAGCCACCAACTTGTTATAAGAGTGGTTATTCCTCATCAGAGAATAAGCGTATGGAGACTGCCCATTAGCATCCAAAAGGGAATTCCAGCAGTTCAATCCGATCTAGAGGGAAAAGGTGAAACAAAAGGAAATATCATAATCTATGTCAGCGTATCTGTAAAACTGATAATAAGTTAGCATCTATCAGAAAAGCATACAATCAAAATCTATAAAATGGAATCAGGCATTATGTTCAAACAACTTTGGACGAGCAACCCACAGAAAGAGCCAACAGTTATTTTTTATTACCTCCTGCGGGTCATTTGTCAAAGCATCAATCATGTCATCCGTATTTGACATACAAGCAGCCAAATGAAGAGGTGTCATGCCACCAGGTCCAGAAAGATTGGGTGGAAAAATATATCTCTTGTCACTGCTAATTACAGAATAATTAACAAGCAACTCAACCATCTTCCTACACCTCCTTTTTACCGCCCGGTTCAAAAGCTGGATGTCTGACAGCATCCCCAATGACTCTCCCGACAGCCCATCACCATCTAAATTTCTTTCAAACAGAATGTCTAGAAGAGTTTTGACCAACACACAACAGTCTTTCTCAACAGTGAATGTCAGTAAGAATTTGAAACGGCTAAGTGAATAACGGGGCTCTTGAAGCATTGAACAGATCCTTTTGCGTTGAAAGAGCCACCCAAGCTCATTCAAGAAGTGAAGGACTTCCTCCCTTGACGTGGGCCGTCCATAATCACGATTTTCATCTTCTGAAATTACATCACATGCTTTTGCTTCTGCATCAAACACCGACTCAAGGAGTCTCAATTCTCTACAGATTGTAGCATCAGCTATTATCACCGGAAAGCTGTTGCCCTTAAAACCATTTTCCACCTGTTTATATTAGCAAAGGTCAGTACAACACAAACTTATTAAGCATTCTACTTCAGATTTCCAAAACAACAATTACAAACAAATCAATTGTTCTTTAGAGTGTTACCTCTATGAAACAGCGACCTAGAACACCAGGAGATGCATCATGAACTTGGAAACTGCCCAAGTTTATCTCATCATACATTGTTCCATGATATGTTGATCCTGTAGCTTCCTTTGATGTGTAACCACCCAGATATGTGCAATGAATCCTGCACGATTGGAAACTAACACTTTCAGAAACAGAGAAGAAATTAACATAAGAATCTCAAACAGAAAGAAAATTGTACTTACCTGGTGCCAAGATTAGTCAGATTTCTGCCCCTCAATACAAGAGAGGTTTCTTGCCCACCCACAACAGCCAAAGGGGACACAGAGATCAACTCTGGGGAACTACATGATCTCCAGGCTTTGCATATACGAATCTTTCCTGAAAATTGATTCCACACGAACAAAACTCAGGAGAAGATTACAAGGCAATGACACACAAGTCATACTTTTATATTTGACTCCATATAACCACTCGCTCCTACAATTCATATGCAGTATATATCATCCTAAACCACTTTGGAAAACATCAACAATTAAAGGTGAATAGAATAATACTCCATCTTAGGATTGCTATGGCTTTTAAGAAGCTGCTGAAGAAAAAGTTATTAAAGAAGTGTTTTCTCCAATTGTATAAGAGCTACTGAAAATAAGTAGAATCACTCAGTTAGGTGCTCTTTAGAAACAAAAAGTGCAAGCACCTTGTTGAAAACAATCCCAAAAGCAGCATGAAACAAAGTAATCAAAAACCACCACTACCGAATAGTGCTTACCATCTTTGTATGATGCTAATTGCCTGCCTGTATGAACTAAAAACCTCCCACTTCTCCAAAAATCACAATCTGAACTTCGAACCAAAGAACTGACACCCTGAATCAGGTTTCCTTCAAACTGAAATAATAAACATGCCCTACAAGTTGTCAGCAAAAGAACTAACAAAAAAATTTCTGATCAGCATTACAACAATTCACTCACTTGCTCCCAGGCGGCAGACGACATTGACACATAAACTGATAGAACCACACAACCAGGCCTTATGTAGCTCTCCATTTCAGATGGACTGTTGGAAAGCCAATTGTATATCTAAGAGAATAGTGAAACTAACAGTGTAAGATAATCCCAGAAAAATAAATTTTACAAGTTTATGATGACAATCGAAACAACAAGAGTGAGTCAAAATGAACCATAAACTCTTCACCTGTGTCCGCAATGACCCTGGTAAATGGCTTGGATCCTTATCAAATAGTTTAAATAATATTCTTCCAGTGCGATCCTGTCAAGGGACAATACAATCAATTCAATCCCACAATAACTGGAAGACCAACATCCAATAGGTTCACATACAGACTTGAAGTAAACCAAAGTACATATATAAAGCAAAAGGTTGTAATTCATCAGTACCTGAGGATCAGAATTCAAGCTAGAAGGTGAATGATCCGAACCAGAAGAAGTATAACCAGCTTGATGCGGAAAACTTTGAATGGAGCTAGCATCAGCGCCTCTATTTGACCCTCTAAAAAGATCAAAAGGCATGTTACAGCCACGAGTCCTGCTAGAGTCAGGGTTTGCATTAACCTCTTTGCTTATTGACAATTTCTCAGACTTCACAGTTTCAGCCATACTCTTCATTGGAAACAGAGTTTGCACAACAGGAGGGGAAGATGAAGGAGACCTATCCTCGGTTGGATTACTACTGTCAGAAGAGAAATACTTTCTAGAAGAAGCCAGTTTTGGCGGACTATCATTTTCAGGCGAGGAGCTAAATAGCTGTAAAGGTAAATTAACGCGAGTTTCTTGAACCTGGCAGTCTGAATCCTCCATGGGAGACTGGTAACTAGTACTACTTCTCTCTCCCCCAGTGGAATTAAACTCCTGTGTAGGTATCTTGTGCAAATTGGGACCAGCTGCCTGGTCAGAGCAGGTCAACTTAGTTTTCTCACTGTCACTACTCTGGCTGCTCTTTTGAGATAACATTGCGAGAGCTTCAGGAGAAGAAGCTGCTAGAGTAGCTGATAGTACAGTAAGCAAGTCAACAGTTGATGCAGATGTTCTTCCATTCAATTTGTTTTGAAGATCTAAAGCAAGTAGTTCCACAGCTTTCCTATTTAAACTTCCGAGATTAGGCAACTTTGCAGCAAGGTCTGCTGGCAAAGGTAATGAATTTATCTTACTAAGAATCTGAAGGAGCTGCTCTGTGTCCAGTACTGATGAGCAGTTGATATTTCTGACATCATTTTTCCCTATAAATTTGAGTACATAAATTTAGCAACGAACCACTGGAGAGATAACATCAATGAACTCAACCATAGTATCAATGAACTCAACCATAGTCTTGTTACCTTGTGGACGAGTTATAGCAGCTAGCAAGTTGACGATATCCAAATTTCCAATGCTTTTGTTATCCCCGTCTCCTGGGAGAGTGAGCCGTGAGGTAACATCCTCTGGTTGGGTTTTCCTTCTTCGCCGGTTATGCCCAGCAAGTCTCCGTCTACAACTTCTCTTCCCCTCATCAAACTCTGAAAGGGGGTGAAACCTGCAACAACCAACAAAGATTTCAACTTTAGAGCAAGCAAAATCGCCCCATAAAAAGAAAAAGGAAATAGAAAGAAACCAAAACAAACTAAAAAACATTTCCATTTATGTAAACCAAACTTCTTGCAAAATAATAGATAAACAGAACTTCTAAAACGATCTATAAGTTGAGGGATCTTTTGGTATGGGCGAAATCAAATCAGGAAATCAGTAGAGACAAATACAATCACTAAGAAATTGAGGGCAAAAGGACTGGATATTTAACCTGCTGCACTGCTGGCAGAACCTCTGCATCTGCTTGGCAACAGGGGCTTTGGTGGCTTTACTGTGAATCTCACAAACTTTATGCCGGCGATGGTAGTCCTTAGCATTCGACAGATCTTCCTTACAGTTATCAACTTGGCACATAGGATAGCTGCCATTCCCTGGAGATCCAGAGCGGACCCTTTTGTTGGGCCGGGGCACGGGCTCCTCCACAGAGGTCAAGCCCCCGGCGAGATTTAATTGAAGGCTCTCATCATCTTCATCTTCCGCAGTGTTCTTCACAAACCCGGAAGCTTCCTCTTTCTTCCCCTGCTCTGTTCTGGAACTACCCAGATGCAGCATCTCGGCGTCCAGTGGCTTGGCAACGAATCTCACGTTGTCCCAGTCCCAAACGTTAGGATTCCAGTTGTTCCCTGCGGTTGTGAAGCGCGGCTGCTGCGAGTGAGGGTGTTGATAATTGGAGCCCTGATAAGGGAGATCGCGCTTCCTCGCCATGGCCGGCACATCGCAGAACCGGCCCGAGAGCGTTTGATGAATGAAAATTGGGGCAGCAACTTGGCCACCAACGTCTTCCATCCCAGATTCAAGACAACCCAAAACACAGAAAATTCTAGGCAGCACAAAAATTGGACAAAGTCAATAACTGCTTTGAACAAATCATTCACAACTCAAAAGCTACAAACCATAAACTATCAACCTTCATCCTACACAACAAATCATTTGAAGTCATGTACGCAAGTTTCACGCAAAGATTGAGTAGTTCCTAATTTTATTTTATTTTTATCTGACGGAAACCATTTTATTTTTATTTTTATTTTCTGTTTTTAGCTTAGTTCAAAGAAATAGGTGTGTGAGTCGTCGAATAAAAAGCAAAGCTTGCTGCATACCAAATCGGAGAAAATTTAGCGAAATAAATTGCATACCTTCACAGAAATCTACAATCTATCCACATCTTTTTACCCAAAAATCTTCACTTTGCGTCTCCAGAGAAATAAACTGAAAAACTGTCACTGAGAAATGAACAATCAAAACCAAATCCTCTTCGTTTTAGATTAACTCCGATCGACGTCCGATCTAAATGTCATCCAAGTTCTGAGTCTTCTTCTTTTGACTGGTCATCTCAGCACAAAAACAGCAACACCAACAAAGCTAGGTAGCTAGCTGCCTCTTCTCTTGTAAATCGCAGAAACAATAACAGAAGAAATCAAAAGACTGATTCTGCGTCTGCGTCTTCGTCCGACAACAAACCAAATCTGAAACCGTTAACAGCTGCAAATCTGAAGATCCAGCTGATGAGAACAAACTCAAATCTCTTCTCTTTTCTTCTCTTGTCTTCTCTCTCTCCCTCTCTCTCTCTCTCTCTCTCTGTATCTTGCGCAAACTTTTCTTTTACTTTTCTCTCTCCAGACTCCAAGTCCCTAACTTTTTTTTTCTTCTTCTCCCTGTCCTTGCTTGCAACAAACTTTTCTTTCGGTGAATGGCAGCAAAGCGTAAATTCGAGCAACGTTGGGGTGGAATTGAGGGCCGCCCCAAGGACCAAACGAAGAATCCAAGACCTTTCCTGCTTGCTTACACCACACCACCTATATTATTAGTATTTCTCAAATGTACTAATGTACCATAACCATTATTTTATCGTCTTCTGATGAACCACCTTTTTTAATTTTTCTATTTTATTTTTATTATTATTTTTCCCCAACATTTTTATTTTTTTTATGTGGATATAAGGAAAGTCCAAAGGCGTAAAGAGCAATGACGATTTTTTCACGCTCACTCGCGCTGCGCGTTGTAAGGTGAACCATAAATAAAAACAACACCATCAATTTTTATTTATCTTTGGACCCAAAAAATTATTTATCATCCTCTTCTTTTACTCTCTCTCTCTTCGACTTTATAAATATATTCATGTCTATTCTAACATGTGAACACTGCACGTTTGTACTACCATACTTTTTTGTAATGTCTCGCGTAAATGAGATCACATCACATGAGGGATTGAGATGAGGATTGGGATGAGATGAGGATTGGGAAGGGGCTCAGACGAATTCCGTATAAGTATCAATTTACGAAACTAGCCTTATGCTGTAGAGGGGACGACTTGGGGGCCATGGTTTGCATGCGGCAGGCAGACCAGATCATTCCATTCCCCGTCCACTTTCCTAATTCCCAACTAACCACTGTTACTGTATACAGTATACGTGATGTGAATGAAATTGTGTGAATGTGAATGTGATGTGATGATGACAATAATAAATATTCTTAACTTCATCGCCAAACTAGTTACTTACAGAATAGTAAACTAATTTGATGTCTTCTTTCCTTGTTGAAAACTAAGTTAATGTCCTTCACCTGGTTGACAAATATGAAAAGTTAAATTCAACAATTTTTTCCAGAAGAGGACAAATGCAGCCGATTCAACTTCCCGAGTTCGCACTCGAAGTCAGGTGCTGGAATTTTGTCTATTAAGATCTGCTTGACTCTTGCAACAACTGACGCATCGTTAAAATACTGGTGAAGAGAGAAGAAGGGTTCAACTCTCCTTCTAACTCATGAATCAGAACCCACACAAAGACCCCATTTTATTTCATGAAGAAAAAAGAGCTGTGCAGTTGAATTCTGGGGTTAACGTCTTGGCTTGGCCTTCTAGAATAGATCCTAGAAAATATATCACCTACTCACACAAGTTGGGGCGATGACTCAAGTCAAAAAAATAGGGATGACACAAGTTTGGATCCTTCATGCATCTATGTGTTGTAATTGTACTTGTATGTCTGCCACGTTCCAGCTGTAATGCATACACAAGTACTTACTGGTCATTCGTCGTTTCAAAAAAATACGAAAGTGATTCATTCATTCCAGTCCATTCCATGCAAACAAATTGCAAACTGTGTCTTCGGGTGTTAACTCATTCTGTGAATCTGTGTGGTGTGGGCATGCATTGTTGGATTCATTTATTTTTCCTACACGAGTACAATCCAAGATCCACCCACCACCACGAGGAGCAGAAAAATTTATGACACTTTGGGGTACACTACGAATTTATTTTCAACTATTCAAATCATTTATTTTTTAGATCTACATTCATAGATTGTTTTTGTGAAAAATTAGACAAATCGGAAACCGTTTCGATATTCAATTGTATCCTACAAAATCAATGAACACGGTACTTCAAAAAAATATTAAAATTTCAATAACTTAATTGGGTAATCAAATGATATCGGATTCAAGTGATTTTTTGTAGAAATAATATTGAATGATTATCTACAAAATATACGATTTGGATTAATTAAATACAATGAAAAGTGAGTCCTACAAAAATGTCTCTCAAATAAACTAATTTAAAGAATCTCTCAATTAAAGCGATATATATATATATATATATATTAGAGAGATAACACAAGAAGAAGCCGCATCCGCATCCCTTGGTGTCGTCGGCATGTAAGTGCTGCCCAAGTCTTGCTCCGAATTATCCGGCTGAATTCACACATTAGCCATCTAATTAACTAACAAATTAATCATCTAATAACTAATTAAGAAATTAGTTAGCTCGATTCAATGAATGAATGAAATGTGTGTCATGAGAGATAAAGATGGACAAGTAAAGTATTGTCTCCTCCGATTCTGATGGCATGCCTGGCCTATTGCCTATTGCTGCCTATTGCCTAATGCTCCCGTCTTTGAATTGAAGAATTAAACGATTCAATTCTCCTTTTTCTTTGATAAAATGAAAATAAAAAAGAAAAGAAAAGTCTGAGCGTCCGGTCCGGACTCATACAGCGACGTGTGGGATGGGAATCAGTCAGAGACCAGCTCTACTCTACTCATACAGCACTAACTATTACTATGCATCTGGTCGGTAACACCCCAATGTATCTAACGCGTGTATCTATATATTATTAACATTCCATTTTAATAATATATTGATGCTTTGCGAGTTTTTTAAGGCAAAGTTTTGATGAGGATAATATCAACATCATATCCAGATCATGTCGATATATTAGGAATATTTGTTACACACATTAATATGGTATTTTAGTGAATTTTTCAAATATATATTTTTAATTCAAACCTAAATAACCTATTCATACTCTTTTTTATTAAAATTTTCCAAAATAAATTCATACTTCGGAAACAGTCTTTTAAGTATCAATTAGCCCCCGAAATTTTCTAGGAGTTAATAGGATAATTAGATGATTTTTGTGGATTCTTTTTTATTACAAGGGAGGAAATCAAATTACTGGTCATAGCCTAATTCTAATTTAATTTCCCACCCACCACTTGGGCTATGCCAAAAGCAATTAAATAATATATATATATATATAATGATATCGGATTCAAGCGATTTTTGTGGAAATAATCTTTGAATAAAAATCTACAAAATAGACGATTTGACTTAGTAAAACACAATACGGAGTGGGCCCTACAATAATGCCTCTCAAATAAGCCTATTTGAGAAATCCCTTGCATATATACATTAAATGTTTGGAGAGTATGAATTTTTATAGAAAGTTCAATTTTGTTCTTGGGGGTCATAACATGAGAAAGTGCAAGTTAAAAGGAGTAACTTTAGACCTTTTCAGTCTCTTTTTTGAGATATTCACAAGGGTTCTGCTCTTTAATCGTTGTGTTCCACGCCAATAAAAACAATATTCATGCAAAAGAACTCACAGCATTCATGTAATTTGAGCAGCGTACATGGAGAGAGCACAGACAGAAACAAACTAAAAATAATTAATATTTATTACCATACTGAATGTTCCTTTTTTTCTTTTTTGACATTTTGTTCTTCACGCATATATAAAGAAAACCAATCTATATCAGTGTGTGAAAGAAAAAGCCACTTAAATGCAAACCAAGAGGAAAACAAATCCCCAGATGGGCACAAAATAATTTGCCTATATATTATGGGAATGTCCCAACAAACTGTTAAATACCTACTTAAATACGTGCATGTATTCAGAAAAACTTATCAAGCAGAGATTTAAAATGGGAGCTGCCGCCATTGCCCAAGAAAAACAAGGCCAAGACAACCAGAACTGTAAGGAGGACCCACATCCAAGGCTGCATCCTTCTCTTACTGCGGTTGCGAAGAGGCAGAGGGATGGATTTTACCTTGGTTTGCTTTGTGAACTGCGATGATTTCTGAGACCTCTTTGTTACGGTGATAGGTTTCTCTTTAGTTTCAGACTGCTCTGGAGTTTCAGATGGGGTTTCTGAGCTTGGTTCTGGAGCAGATTCTCCTTCACTAATACCGTTTGTGGCCTTTGTTGTAGTTGCCTTCTTTCTTTCCTTCTTCTTCACCCTCTTCTCCCTTTCCTGCAAAAGATACAAGTCGTGCAGGGCCAATACTTAGAAGGCAAGAATATTGCACCAGGTGGAACAGAGATCCACATGTCTAAGTCTACAATGCCTATGAGAAGTTTATAGAGCCGAAAAGAAAGTGATGAAATTTTACCTTCTCTTTCTCCTCGGCTTCCTTCTGTGCTCTTATGGCAGCTCTGGCTTGGGCCTTCTCCGCTATTCTTTTCTTCCTCTCTTGTGCTTCCTTGGCTTTGGCCTTCTCCTCCAGCCTACGCTGCTCTCTCAACCTAGCTGCTGCTTCTTCCTTTCTCAATTCCTCTGCCTTTCTGGCCAACTCTTCTTCCTCCTTTGTTAGTTTAGGTTCTTCTACTTTTTCATCTTCAATCTCATTTCTTCCAGAAGCAGTTGCTGGGCTAATTTCAGATGAAGCAGGTTTCACCGGCTTCTTGGTTTTAGCTATCTCAATTTTTGGCTGACCAACCTTCTTTGCAGATTTGTCATCTGGCTTTTCAGATTCCACAGGGGCAACTCGTTTTGCTTGTTCAGGAGTAGAAAGCACTGCTGCCAAATTATCCTTGGTTGCTCTAACAATATCAGGTATTATAGGGGGCTCCTCATCAGGACCAAGTGAGCGCCCATCTGAGGTTCTCAATCTCCTCAATGTACTCCTGTTGTTGCATCTGACATATTCTTTACGGAAATCATCATTTTTATTCCAGAGTTCCATAATCGTTTCCACCTAAACAATTGAGTTTCAGCCAATGCACAAATAAGCTGTTTTTCCAGATTCTTCAACAAAATAGGTTGGGGAACACACACGCACACACAAAACAGGACTCCATGAGCTAACCTGATTGATACAAAAATGTTGCAGTTGTTCCCTATCTCCACTCAATGCTAAATTATTAGCAACCTTTGCATCATCCTTGTACCTCCAAAAATATTTGTTCTGCGGATTCAAGGAATAAGGGGTTAGTATTTCTTTTCTAAATTTGCATCTATTTATTTCAAGGGTGAAGTCAACAAAGAGATAAAGGCATTGTACAATTGAAAACATGACTTATCAACTGGAAAAACATGTATAAGCAACCTTAAACATGTCCCCTTACATGTGACATTATACAAGGAACAGTAAAACATGTTCCACAGTCTGTCTGTGTGTGCATGTGTAGAGAGAGAGAGTGAGAGTATAATCCTAATAAGCAATTAGGGAATACAAACACCTTGTCATATTGTTGTTTCCTCAAACTCTGTAAATGTGCGTATGCTTCTTGACGAATGTCATCTGCAGCTCTAAACTGAGAAAGTAATTCATTCAGCATATTGTTTTCTTCATTAAATTTCTTTTTAGCAGCTTGAGTGACTGTCTCTGCTTTCAGAAGATTGTTTCTGAGTAGATCCATCTCCTTCCTCAGAACCTGTAATAATGGAAAATCAGATAAATAACTGAACAGCTCATCTGCGGCACTGACAAGACTTTGTCTAACTCTTACAGTATCAAACAGTCTTATCTCTATTTTTGGTTACTAGAAAATGTATACTAAAATTCGAAGGTGATTAGTTGTTTCTAAGTGAATTAGATCTCATGATGACCACCATATGAACAATTAAACACAACAATCCCCCATACTGGCTAGATAAGAAATAGAAAATAACAAACAATTAGAAAACACTACCTTTGAGCGCTCTTCAATATGATCTTTCTGGTCTAAAGCTTGTTGAACTTCATCCTGCTTACCCAGGCTAGAAGAGAGCTGTTCACGAAGTTGCTTCATTTGCTTGATTTCGCGAATATATTGCTTTTCTTCCTTCAAAGGCAGGGTCTCATGCTGCATAGTATGTTCCATATTGCGTATCTATTCATGAAACAAAGATTAAAAAAATACAGACATTCAATATTTACAAACATATTCAAATATGCTATATAAATCTATGGCAGCAATCAATAGTGTTGAGGGGTAGACGATCGAGTCGCTTACTTTGCTATCCATATCCTCAACAGACATGGCATTCTTCACTTTGTTAATCATTAATTGAACAGTATCCATTTCATGGCGTTTGGCCTTAAACAGGTCTCGTGCAGCTCTCTCTTCAGATCTAGCAGCTTCAAAATTGTCGAAATACTCCTTACAAGTGGCCTGGCCATGAAAGAACCCCAACAGTTAATGTGAGAAGATACTAAAATCGAACTACAAAATACAGTTGAAGCCATTTCCAAAAGATTCCTCACCCTTTCCATTTGGATTTTAGAACGAATAGCATCCCGGCTTTTAGTTTTTTCTTCAACGTGTAACTGAGCTTGTTTAATCTGTTCTTTCAAATTTTCGTCATCATATCTTGGAACCCTAATCAAGAAGTAGAACGGCCTCTTTTCTACCTCAGCACCTTTATTCTGTCCTTCCAAAGCATCAGTAGTGGAAACTTCCTGGGAAGATGTTGAGGCTTCAGATCTATGAATTCCGTCAGTGGACTCCACTACCTCACATGTCGGTTTAATGTCACTATCAATTTGTACATCATCCAAGTTGCAATTTAGTGGCCTGCCACTCTCCTCAGAAGAGTCATTCAGAATCCTGGATTCAGATGCAGTACCATCATCTTCAGGAACATCTCTGCTTCTCAGAACAGATGTACTGTGAACTTCAGACCCTGGTTTGTCATCAACATCTGGTTTAGCAGGCAAGCTAGCTTCATTTGAATTGTTTTCAGCAAGAGATAAAGGGGGGCTAGCAGCACATTCAACCTCCAAATTTGACAACCCAGAATCTACATCCACGGCATCATTAGATATCTTTTCTTCACAACCAATAGAACCCAGGCTGGTCTTGGGTTCTGATATCACATCATTAGCTGGACAACTTGACAGAGTATCACTCACAATGGGTGCACTCTCAAATTCAACTTCTGATTTTGAATTGGGTTCTGGTATTGCATCATTAGCTGGGCAACTTGACAGAGCTTCATCCACAATTGGCACACTCTCAAAGTCTACTTCAGATTTTGATTTGGGTTCTGATATTGCAGTATTAGCTGGGCAACTTGACAGAGTATCATCCACAATTGGCACACTCTCAAAGTCTACTTCAGATTTTGATTTGGGTTCTGATATTGCAGTATTAGCTGGGCAACTTGACAGAGTATCATCCACAATGGGCGCAGTCTCAGGTTCAACTTCTGATTTTAAATTGGGTTGGGAGATTGCATCACTTTCTGGGCAAGTTGACAGAGTATCATCCCCAATGGGCACAATGTCAGGTTCAATTTCTAATTTGGAATTTGGTTCTGATATTGCATCATTAACTGGGAAACTTGACAAGGTATCCTCTATACCAGGCCCACCCTCAGCTTCAATTTCTGATTTTGAATGCTCAAGAAGGCAAGGACTAGGGCTTTCACTAGTCTTCTCATTTAGGTTTACAGCATCAGCCCCTGCCATCCCATCATCAACAGTGCAAGTTGAAACATCTTCAGTAGGTAGAGAAACCTCGTTTTCAACATCTGGATTTCCTTTTGTATCATTATCAGCAACAGTTGAAAAGCTTTCACCATTTTCAGTAGGCACTTTCTCACAACTCTCAGCATTTTCACATGACCCGTTCTCATCAGGTGCATCAACCAAGTCATCTGTAACTACGGGCTCTGAAATTCCCTCTTGAGCATGAACAATAAGCAAGCCATCTTCAGTACTTTGATCAGGGACAGTGCCATTGCCAACTTCTGCTGCCAACTTGTTCTCAACTTGGAAGGAAGCGTTTTCACAAATGACCGGGGCAGGCAAGGCTTGGCCATTTTCAGAAGATACATTTTGTTCAGCTGGATTTCCTGGAGTGTTATCATGAGCAGGACAAGCAGGCAAGCCGTCCACAATTACCTTGGACACAAGATCACTCACAACTTGCTTATCAAGCGGAGTTGGAATTGAATCATGCTTCGACCCTGGGCCGAGATCCCTTGAAGCATCTTCCACGGGCACCTCCTTGGCCAGTTTCGGATCTTCGTCACTTTGAATATCACAATTTGTAAGAGAATTCTGTGGAATGGATTCTGCAACCTCAATCGTCGTCTCCCCGTCGGCAGCCTTGTTTAGTGAATGAGGTTGGGGAGTATCCTCCTGAGAATCAGAAACACTCTCTCCCACCTTGACCTCCATGTGAAGGCTGCCATTTTTTTGAACCCCGCCGTTGAGATCAGACGACTCAACAGGATCCTCAGATATGATGGCATCGCCTCCGGTCACAAACACATATGAGGAGTCGGCGTCGTCCTTGGAAATCCCATTCCCATTAACACTACCATTCCCATTCTCATTCTCGTTCTCGTTCACGTTCACATTCACATTCAAAACCTCACCTTTAGACACCTCAGATTCACAGGCATCGCGGTGCACATCCACCTCTGCCGTCATTGTGATCTAAATCAGAAGCCAACCACAACCACAACGATATGTATCTATTTCACAGACACAGTTACAAAATTCCAAAGTTAATTTTCATTTATCTATTTATAATTCCGTTAAAAGCAACTGAATTGAGAATTTAGAGTGAATGAAAATTGAAGAAAGCGTCAAAGCAGTGCAAGATCTAATGTAAGGAGATCAGATGGACTTACCGGTGCAGATCGAAGCAACGGGTGTGAATGCAATCGAGCCGAGCAGATCGAGAGCTAGATCAGCCAACCGACATCAATGTGGTAGATTTTAAAGACTGGATGAATCTTTGTATGTATTGTATAATGTATGAGGGGTGTTTGGGAATTGGGAAAATAAGCTACAGCCCAGAGAGAGAGAGAGAGAGAGAGAGAGAGAGAGAGAGATGTAAAATTGTAGATTGGATTTGGAACAAGAGAAACAGCTGGCGAGGGAAGAAGAGCAGGAGAGAGAGAGAGAGAGAGAGAGAGTTTGTGTTGTGAACTCGTGATTGTGTGTTATGTTTGTGTTTGTGTTACGACTTTTGGTCACTAGAGAAGAGAGACTCTCACTAAATAGCAAATCCATTTGTATTGTAGCTCTCTTCTTCTATTTAATCTTTATGCGGCTCCTTGTGTAAGTAATTAATTTGGATTCAAAAATCAAAGATATGTCCACACGTTTTTCCTTTTTTTCTCACATGCTTTTGTTTTTATTTTTTCCTCATCCATCGCCCACCGTATGTCCCTCCCTATCAATATTGAATATTCACTGTCCATTTCCCTTTTCAATATGTATTCAATTATTTCACCCGTTAAAAAGAACTATTTCATGTTTCGTAATGTATGACTAGTTTTCCTGAAATCTGTATACTACTAGTATTTCTTTTTTCATGAAATTTGTATACTACTAATTCAGTTCATCCAATTCACTTCAATTTGACACTATTTGAAGTTTTTTTTGGGTTATATTGAAGAGAATCGAATCATTGATGCAACTCATTATTCTGGCCTATATAGAGTAACTCCCAAACGAGTCTTGTAAGCTTAAAAGCTTAAAATTAGTACCTGTTTATTTTTTTTATTTTTTTTAAAAAACTAAAAAAAAACCTAAAAAACTACTACAATAAAAAAAAAAAAAAAAAAAAAAAAAAAAAAAAAAAAAACCAAAAAAAACAAAAAAACCACCCCCCCCCACCCCCCAAAACAAAATAAAGTGAGATTTTAGAGTTTTTACTCTCTCTCTCTCTCTCTCTCTCTCTCTCTCTCTCTCTCTCTCTCTCTCTCTCATATGTCTCTCTCTTTCTCTCTTGGTGGTTTTGGGTCGACGTCATTTGCAACTCCGTCGAGGTCTCCTTCATCCGCTACCTCCTTAGTCTGACCCGACCCCACCCAAAATCTTTTCATGTTTTAGGTTTCTAGGGTTTCCATTGAAACCACACAAATTTTTCCTTTTCTTTTGTTAATTTCAATTTGAGATTTTTATTTTATTTTATATTATTTTTTTAGATTTTAAAAATAGTTTGGAGTTCAATACCAAACAAGTTTTTAGATCTTAAAATCACTATTTGAAAACTTTTTTTTCTTTTTAAAGAATTAAGTTTTTAAGTTTAATTTTTTGAGTAGGATACCTTAATATTTTTAATAAAGATAATTAATTATTTCCTAAATCTATATATATAAAGAAAAATGCAGAGAATGGTGAAACATTCAAAATACTAGAAAATGTCATTGGTTAATTCAAACATTAATAATGACGATAATGTGGTAAATTTACATTTTTTTCATATTAAAAAAATTAAAATTAAAAACAAAATCAGATAATAGGTTATACTTTTATAGAACATAACTACCCATGTTATTTTTTTCTTAATTCTAAAAATAAAAGAAAAAAGAAAAAAGAAAACCAATTGACACATGCATGAACATGTGCGCTAGTATAATGTAAAGTAAATAGTATCGTGTTACGTAGGGAGTTTTGGTTGAGCCTAATAGCAGTTTTCCAAACCATGTGCAAGTATGGTATTGTCATTCTGGGCAGGGGCTAGAAGTGCTACTGTCTGGGCCCATTATGAAAGGGGCCCAATTTTTCTTTATTTTTAAAAATATAATTGTATTATATAATATATTATTTAATATTTTCAGAAAAAACAAATATTTGGATAACATTGGAACATGTTAAACTCCTTGATGCACTGCATTGCACCCCTTCCACTCCTACATGTTATAAATCTTTCTTATTCCTCTTCTTCTATTTTAACCTAAATTATGCTTTCTGTTTGTAGATTGAAGAGATTCGAAAATCCAAAGTAGGGGCTTTTATTCAGTGCGAAATTAGTACTTATAGAAATCAATTGAATGTAATTGTTTATTATCTAATATCAACTCAAAAGGAAAATACGAATTTTTTTAGGAGTTAGGTTTGAAATTGTTGTATGCATAAATAGTCGTATTTTGCAAGGGGGTTAGGTTTGAGTTTCGTAGGGTTGAATGGTTGCATAATGGTATAGCAAATGGTACAAAATAGCAATCATTCGGCTGTTTATAGGTTAAAATTTGTTTTTTTTGGGGACATAAAGTTGGAAGAGAATGGTCTTTTGTAATTTCCTTGTACATAAAAAAAGAAGAAGATAGAAGATAGGAAATAGCGGGGATCGGTAGCTCATCAATCATGATTCATGAAATTAATAAGATAAGATTTTCTTCGTCGGTTGTCAATTGTTTTATGTTCATTCGTTCATTCATTCATTCATTCATATGAAAGACGTGATTCTAGAAACAAAGAGCATATGGGCAAATCTCACCAATAGTTATATAGTCAGCTGAAAAAAGTTTTTTTATTTTTATTTAGGTTGGTGGGACCAAAAATCAAATGCAACAAACGCGTGAAAACATAAAAAGAGGTAAAAGTCTGGGCCCAACTCAAATATGAAATGTCAAAAGAGGAGGCACCGGGGGCTTTCCCTGTTTTTTTCTGGTTTGACATCTGGATAAGGATCGTATTTCTTTTCCCAAAAAGATAAAACTTTTTTTTGATTTTCGGAAAAGATAAGGAACCTGTGTTTCTTTTTATAATTTACCACTAAGGTCTCTTCATCATCAGTTATAAGCATCCATGCAGTGCAGCAGAGAGAAACCTCATGAGGCTGGAGAGGTTCTGTGCTGCGTGGTTAATCTTTTGACAGTTTCAGGTCTTGCCAATTCATGTCTCCAGAAGTCTATATGTTTTTTTTCTTTTCTTTTTTTAATTCAGGTCTTGCCAATTGAATATTAGTTATATACATTACTTAAGTCTGAATTAGAGCATGCACATGCATGATGCATGTGGCTTGACAGACAGCAGGGATGGAAGACCAGGAAGACCAAGTTGATCGATCAACTGGGTTTTATATTTACCCAGAAAGAAGGGTAAAAAACGGAGAGGGAGAGATCTCAAGTGGATATACCCTAGGAATCTTAAACCAAGTCTAGTTTTGGCAAAAAGTGATATGTATATAGAAAGACAAAGGTTGAACTAGTCTAATACTGCTCTTGGCCACATATCTGCCTGGCCAAGTTGCCATCCAGCTAATTGTTGCGATTGATGATGAATTTGATAATATGACTACCAGCGGCAGCCTAACATACAGGAAAAATATGGTACATATGTGGACTAACATTTGACAGCGCGACAAGCGTTTTGGTTGACCTCATACAGCCTAACATAGACAGGCATCTCCGAATATTCATCTATGAAATATTTGTTATTCTTGCGTGGCCCTGGCCAAGACCGGTCCTGAGATTTAGAGGATCTTGTGTAAAATTTAAACTAGAGCCTTTATATAACCTAGTTTTCGATACAACCCGTTATACGACTTGAAATCCGCACGAAAAAAACACGACATGAACCGCTCAATTAATAATTGAGTAATTTTAATATCAACCCGTTAGACCCGTTTAAATTAAAAATTATGATTATTAAATTTTTATGTATTAATTAAATAAATAATTATGATAGTTGTTTCCTCACCCGTAAATCCCGAATCGGAAATTACTGAGCGGAAATCACAAAGGTGTGGAGAAAAAAAATCAGAAACAGGTGTCATAATAGATGATTATAAAAGGAAATAAGGGGAGAAAAAAATCACAACTTAGAAAACAAAACACCTAGCTCTGCTAATTTTCTTCCTTCCCATTTCTCTCAATCTAAACCTATCTCCTCCAACTCATAAATAAAATGGTCTCTTCATTCCCATTTTCTCTCAATCTAAACCTAGTTCCGCCAATACAGACATGTGGGCAAGGGGTTGCACCAGTCTAGATGCCCTACTTTGCTTTCTCACAAGGACCAGTTACCATAAACGACTCATTACTCCTTGACAAACAATGTTGTCATTTGAGTTGCGAGGAGTTAGGTGACTTCCAGGGATATGGGCATGCTAGGAACAATGGATGATAACTAGGTGGTGAGTGATGTCATGGCACTGAGCTTGCAAAGTGCGGTGTCAGTCGCAAGTGTGGGTCATCGCCTCATTGTGAAATCCCATGAGGTGCAAGTGCTAAGAGCTCAGTTGGTGGCAGATGAAATTTGGTTGAAGATTGTTAGAGTGTTATAAGGAGATTAAAAAGGGATTAGACAGAGACGTTGGGGGAGACGTGAAACCAGCTTGAAATATTGCATGAAGAGAATAAAAAACTATCAATAATGGTAGATTTTTACTCTAAGGACATGCAAGAGCAGTTGGAGGCCTTGGATTGACCAGGTAAATGTGTAAGAAGAGATCCAAGTTTTGTTAAAGCTAAGAAAGTGATGTTTGGAAGCTCAAGTGATGAGCCCCAAGAAGCGGTGTGTGAAAACCCGAGATAGGAGATCTAGTGGCCCAAACTAAAGTCTCTTATTGTGGAATCAAGAAGCGCGCCATGATGTTGTTGTTGTTTTAAAAAAAATTAATGTAGTCCCTTGTTTCCTCTTTTTTAAATGTGAAGTAAATATTTTTATTATTTTAATTATAACGACACAAA